ATTTATGGTTCTTCCCATTGTTTCTTTCATCTCTCAGTACCCAGTTTTATTTATCAGCAGACCTACAGTTTGTCTGTGAAGACAAGTCTCTCCCATTCCATTCATCAATCAGTGGAATCCTTCCCATTGTTTCTTTTCTCTCTCACTGCTAGTTTTACCTACCAGCAGACCCACAGTTTGTAAAGACAAATCCCTCACTCCTTTCACCCTCAAAACAGCTTCAGAATCTCAGGACAAAAAGCCAGCCTGGGCACAGTTATGTGTTTAGCTCATTAAGGCTAAAGGACTTTTGACAGGTCACAAAACATCCGGGCCTGGGTGCTGTGAACAAAGGTTTGTGTGCAGCCTCGCCTCCCCCAGGGCAGCCAGAGGCCCCTGTGACCTGGCCACAATGGTAAGGCTTAAGCACAAGTGTCCAGCTGGAAAAGCTTCCTTCTCTGACAGTGTGTAAGTGTGCGTGAGGGGAGCAATAGCCCGAGTGGCCCTGTGCCAAGGCCCTGAGGGACCTGCTGGGGACACACACGGTGACAGATGTGTCGTGGTGTCCTCTGAGCCATCCCACATTACAGAGCACACTGACCCCCAGAGTGCAGCACGGCTCTACACTCCTCAGCTTCCTCGTGAGTGGAACATGGGATCCTTTCACCCTCACAGAGGTGGGGGAGACCTTGCAAAATAATACACCCTAGGAGAAGGGCAAGAGAGCATTTCAATTTATCCATTTCAATTTATCCATTTCAATTTATCCATCTGCCTCACCTACCACTGACCACCACGCTCCTTTAGGGCAGTGTAGTTCAACTCCTGGGATAAGATCCTCTCTGGTCTCAATCCTCTTTCCCTATTTCTTCAGAAAATGTTCTGTTGCCTCGATTTCCCTCGCCTGCTTGTTCCCTGAACCTGGCTTTCTCACACTCCCCTCTCGCTGTGTGTGCCTTCAGCCAGCACTGCATCCTGAGTTTCCCTGTGCCCTCCCACGCTCTGATATTTACCCTGGGAGTTACACGCCCCCAGCTCTAATCTGATCCTCATGGAACAGCAGGTTCATTTAATCACCGGCTCAAAAATTGCAGGCACGTTTTATTAGACTTATCTCTCCTAACGATACAGGGATAGCACACCACAGTACCACTGAGAGCAAGCTACAACTGCTAACCCAGCTGACTCCTGGCTCCTTTATAGGGGAATAAAGCCAAGGGAACGACACACGGTGTCACTTCATAAACCCAAACAGAGCACAGCGCGGCACTTGCTAACTACAGCTCCCCAAAGGGATGTGTGATTCACACATAAAGGCACTCCCAGGCCCAAGTGCTCTGGCTGTGAGCAGAAAAAAGCTGTATTCTGCTCTAGTCTGAATTCCAAAGTTTGTGCCCTGTGTCTAGAAAAGCTCCAACTGCATTCCTGAATGTACATTCTGTTACTCCTTCTCACAGGAGTAACAGAAACCTTTCCATTTTTTTTTCTTTTTCTTCTCTGTAACATCATCATTAAATGGATTTTAAAGAGTAAGCACAGAATATCCTGAGGAAGGCTAAGGTGAACCATGAGCCAGAAGAGAGGAAGGCTTTTGATTGATTTGCATGGAATCCCACCTGGTTTCTTATACTCTGGGAAGTTCACATCACTTCCCTACCCCCTCACTCCCGTTCTACTGACACCTGATAATTGTCACTCCCCCTTTTCAAATGTACTTGGCAAACAGATGTACTTGGCTATTACAGGTGCCTTCTCATAATCCTAAAAAATGCACAATTTGCTAGTTCCCCTTTTCTCTGTGCAAAGTTTCAATTCCAAACCAGCTCTGGAGAAGAACAGGCTTTCACAGTGAATGCCACCTTTTCTTTCACAATTTACAATTTTGGCTGCAGTTCATACTAAGCTTTCCATCGGGAAGTTTCATCTAGGTACAGAGAACTCAGCCAGAATGAATGGCAAAAGAAAACACACTATAACTTAACCACGTAAGAAAACCCAAAACCAAACATGAAATTAAACTGAAGCAAATTAGTGCAAAATCAGATAGCAGTGAAATAAATCTGCTAGATTTATTAGCAGATAAAGTTTAGCACCAAGAGAAAAATCTGGACTAACACTACCTTAGCATAGTGCATAATTTCCAAACAACTTTGAACTTCTCTGTTATGTAGACAAAGAAAACTACATGCTCATCACAGGCTCTGCCCAACACATCTCTTTTCATCTGGGTATTAAGACATATCTAGTAACACATTTGCCACTGTATTTCCTGATCTATGCCATTTTCCCCTCAGAAAAAGCCCAGGAAAAAATTAAGAGTGGTCATGGAGTCATAAAACTCAAAACTTAGTCAGGTTCTGTGGTGTCTCAGTTTATGTTTAGGGCTGAAACCCCAAAACACAGACTTGAGCTTTGTGTTCAAGACTGCACAAATAAATAAAATATTTTTCTTAAGAGGTTTTTCTTTGCACCCGTAACAGAATCCAATCACTTGGGCCCTCAAGGTCTCGTTGCCCAGTTCCATGAGTTGAATGGTTACCCCATGGGGGTGCACTGATAGACAAGGTGTAGCTGATACAAGGCAAAGGTCTCTTTAACTTAATTCTTTATTTGTCATAGTTTACATGAGTGGCAGATTGGCCTAAAATTTTGTAAGAAATGTTCATACTGGGATTTGTTTCATATTAGGAGCTTTACTTCCACAACTGGAGAAGAACTCATTCTGCTGTATAAAGATACAGAAATGTAATCTTAAAAAACTCTGGCACTTTTCCTGCTTGTGTAATTCAAAAAGGATCTCAGTAAAGAAAATTCAATTTGGCAATCCATTAACATAGATTTGATGCTCTCTCTGTTCATATCTTGATGTCTCACCCCTTTCAGAAAAATGAAAATAACTCTTGGTAAAGAGTGGCTGTTCCCTCTTATTAGTCCAGTATACTGGCAATTATTAAAACCCTAGGAAAGCTGCTGAAGCTCTGCTGACTCATGGTGGCCAAGAACTTATTTGTTAACTCCATAACCAAGGTGGAGGAGGGAGAAAAAGAAAAAAAAGAAAAGGCAGAGAACAGGCAAAGTTTGGGAAGAAGGCTGTGTGCCAGGCGTACACTAAGTTGCACCAATTCTTCAGGAGAAAGGATCTGGATGTTATTGGAAATTTAACATGCTGTGTTTGAACCTGGTGAAGAGACAAACCTTATTTGAGCCCATTTAAGTTTAGGAACCTAAAAGAGTCATTTCAATGAAGAGTTTACCTCTCACAGACATCTGCTGTCAACGGAGGAAGAGCAGCAGTTCCAAAAGACAAATTGACTTAGCAAAGGTCTGAGCTGTCTTCTCCCTGCTCCATCAAGAACAGAGACACCCCAGGGCAGTGATGAAAAGCCTGTACCAGGACAGCAGCCTGGCACGTGACACTGCTGTCAGCACAAGGGCTCAGTTCCCACTGCACTCTGCAGTTTGTCACTGCTCCTCCACCCTACAGAGCAGCCTGCAGAGCCCCAAACAAGCTGCAGCAGAGCACGGGGGATGGAGCTGACAGGGATTAATGGAGCAATTAACCCTTTCCCTCCCCACCAACCTGCCCCAAGGAGAAGGACTCTCGCAGAATGTGCCATGACACAGGAATATATTTCTGACATGAAAGATGTTAGTAAGTGTTAGCCAGGAATGACTGCACTCCTCATTTGGGAGCTCTGGTTTGGTTCATTAATACTTGTGGGATTACTGTAAACCTGAGGTCATTCACAGCCTAAGTACTAGCAAAGGTGGCATTTTAATGCCTGGAAAATTTTAGATTTCACCTCATTTTAAATTATTCTATTCTCACAGCAGTGAATAATTAGGGAAAAGCCAGAGCACATTATTCCAAGGGTACAGATTCTCTCCCGGAAAGGCAAAGTGGTTCTCAGCACTGCCTGGCTGCATTTGAGCACTGCACTCTGCACTCCTAAGGAGCAGAACAATTCTTCCCAGCCCCCTGCCCATTCCTGCACAAAAAAGAGCCAGGATTTTCCAATTGCCCACCATCATCTATGATCACATCTTTCACAGCAAAGGAAGGCTGCCAGCATGGTGGATTTGCTGTGACACCATCTCTGCCTTGCTCTGCCCAGATGAGAGCATGTGTTCTTTCCCCACTGCACGCAGGGAAGAAGGGGAAACCAAGGAAAGACAAGGTGGCTCACTTGGTGGTATTTGACGACTGTAGAGCATCACACATATAAAAAGCTCAGCATTAGTGTACCTTCACATAAAATCCTGTCCCTGTCCTGAACAACAGTAAAAACAATTCACCTCATTAAGGTACCACACCAAGCTGCGTACTCGCTGTGCTGTAAAGGCTCTGGAAGCCTGTGGTTGAAGCGTTAGTGTTGTGGAACAAAGTGACAGCAAGTTGGGAAATAAATGAGCACAGTACTCTCTTCTAACCTCCTGGCACTGAGCCTTTTAACAGAGAAGAAAAAAGCAAAAACGGAAAATGTCAGCCCCAAAAACATTTTTCACGTTGTAAAAAAGAGAGTCCGCTCTAAAGCACTTGATAAGAGACACACTGAGGGGTCTGAAAAATAGTGAGTGGAACAAAAAGGTTATGTGAACACATCTAATGTAATAAAAACAAAAAAATCGTTCCAACCAAAATCTGTATCTATGTCGTACAAACGTCACGTCAGCCCTTAAGAC